TAATAAAAATTCCAATTCGCAAAAGAAGATGTTAATGAGTGCCGTTTGAAAATTTCACTTAGTAATTAGTAGTAAGAGTAATTATTGGAATCCCATATAAAAAAATTAAGGCTATAATCAGATTTTAATCGATTAAAATCATGCAACTTTTAATCAATTTTAATCGAAATTAATCAAAATAATCAATGAAATTTCGATTTTTTCGATTATTTTTGATTAAAAATTGATTAAAAAGTGTATGATTTAAATCTGATTATATCCTTTTACATGGGATGATAATATATAGTTCAGAGGATGTACAGATAACTAAAAAGAGCAGCCGTTAAAAAAACTTACAAGGCTGAAAGGACTAGCTAGGGATAAAATGTAGAGCAGCAGTCATCATTATACGGTGAGAGATGATAAAGTGAGTTGATGTTATTTTCGTTCTATTTATGATTAATCATGATTTTTACTGTTTCTTTTTGGAGACAAGGCCTTTTATTATATAATAGTAAATAAAATACAATAAAGCGGCTGGAACAGAAAAAGAAAACAACGAAGAGACGCGTGACTATTGTCTTTTGTCTCGAGGTTTGGTCATTGGATAATGCTGTGTAGGATGTGATGTGATGATAATATAGTGTTTGTAGTTGTTGCGAATATCTCGTTAATAGGTCTTCATTGTAACATCGCCTTTTCATATTATACCTGGAAATGACGATACGTAACAGAAATAGCTGAGTTGAAAAAAAGGAGTCAACAAATAGATTAGGTCATCTTCATACATAATATGTAGAGGAAGGAAAGAAAACGAAAATAGCTGGATGGAAAAAGACGAGTCAGCAAATAAGTTGACTCACTTCTCGCTATATATGTGACAAACTCTACGTATGCGAGTCCGTTATACAATTTTCGTACAGAATCGATTAGCCCAACGATAGTCTAGTTTCTCGAGGATGATATTAATACATATATAGGGGTGATTTGTACGTAAAGAATGGTAACGATAGGAAGGAAAAGAAAGAATTACTATATGTAATCGAGCCAACCAATAGGTTGACTCCACTTCACATATAATATGACAAAACAGAAAAGAAAACAAAAGAACTGACTATATGAAATCGAATCAGCAAGCGTATCGTTTTCTTTCATTTATATATGAAACAAACAGTGTGGTATCATGTTTGTAGTTACTGTTGTGTTCGTGATGCTTGGAGAATGTCTTGTAATGATCGATGATAAATCATTTCATTGTTTGATGCTGCAGTTGAAGTTGCTCGTTCGAGTAAATTAACTGCATAATCTTTGATTCTTGGAATGTTTGCGATTCGATGGATATAGTCGGCGGACGTATAATGTGGTAAACCTAATGCCACTCGAAGTGCTTTGTTTTGGATGATTTGAATACGGTCCCATATTTTGTTATCGGCAGATAGAAGAACTGGATAACCATATATGATGACCGTTCTTATGAGTGACTTGTATAAGTTTATCATGATGTTGTGGTTCGGTTCAATTGCAGCTCGATTCAGAAAACGAAGTAAACTTAATCGTGCTGCAATTCTTGTTTCGACTTGTTTCAGGTGTGTTCTCCAACTTAATCGATTGTTCATTATCATACCTAAATATCTGGTGGAAGTTGCTGGTTGAAGATTTCTACTGTAGAAATAAATAGATAGTTATTTGGAAATAAAGAATTAATTTATGAAAAAGAGAACATGAGCAAACACGGTCATTTTTAATAGTGTAGTGACAAATTTCCTTGAAACAACATAGATTTGGAGGTAGCAATAAACTTTTGGCAACTTCCAGTTGCGGCCCAATCGATTTTTAATTGCCCAATACCGCCCATGACTCAAAATAATCTAGCTGGGAAGCGGCCCATCACTCAAAAATCCTAGCTACGCCACTGATCGTTATACATCATATATGTTTGTCTGTTGATAGAAAATATAGACTCGCATGTATATAACATCTCAAAAATACAAAGCAAAAGATAAATGTCTATAGAACTATTTTGATGCAAAAAATCTCATTTTAAACATTAACAAGACACTATGATATAATTGTAAAAAAAAAGAGCATTAGAGAGAACGATATGCTATATTCTTGCTATAGAATAATATTCCAGTATAGAAAAAACTTATTCTGAGGAATTTCTAGAAAAAAAGAATAATCTATTCAAAGAATTTTACTCGATACTTTCGAAATTATTTCATATACTAGCTATACTCTACAGAGAGAAAGAGAGAGATCTCATTTTATTCTTACGTTTTCCCTTTTAGTTAATATTCCTGCTAACAATAAATGGGCACAGAACGGAGTGACTATTGCTGGAGGCAACGGGTATGGGGATGCCACTAATCAACTCACCTGGCCTCATGGTCTCTTCGTTGATGATGATCAAACAGTGGTTATTGCTGACCACTTGAATATTCGTATCATGCAATGGAAGAACGGTGATACAACGAATGGACAAGTTGTTGCTGGTGGTAGAGGCGCAGGAAGTGGATTACATCAATTGGACCTTCCAACAGATGTATTAATTGACAAAGAGGCGGATAATCTCATTATTTGTGATGGAGAAAGTCGACGAGTTGTACAATGGTCTCGTTGTAGTAGTACAACACAAGGTAAAATACTCATCGACAACATCGATTGTTGGGGATTAACCCTGGATGAACAGAGATATCTCTACGTTTCTGTCTGGAATAAAGATGAAGTAAGACGATATCAATTGGGTGATAAGAATGGCACTCTCGTAGCTGGTGGTAATGGAAGAGGTGATGGACTCAGTCAACTCAACGGGCCGACATATCTCTTTGTTGATCGACAACAGAATGTCTACGTATCGGACGAACGAAATCATCGTGTAATGAAATGGAATAAAGGTGCAACAGAAGGTATTGTGGTCGCTGGAGGACAAGGCGCAGGGAATGCTCTGACACAATTGTCTAATCCTAATGGCCTCTTCGTTGATACATTGGGTACACTCTATGTAGCAGACATGGGGAGTAATCGTGTAATGCGTTGGACTCAAGGAGCAAAAGAAGGCGCTGTAATTGTGGGTGGAAATGGTCAAGGAGCAGGAGCAAATCAGTTCAACTGTCCCATTGGCTTGTCTTTCGATCGACAAGGTAATCTCTATGTCGCCGATGAAAATAATAATCGTGTTCAACGATTTTCTATCGAATAAGACTTGCGAATTGTTTTTTCTTTGTTCGTTTCTTTTTCTATACTTTGAAATAAATGAACAAGGAAAAATAAATCTTCTTTTGCTCTTTCGCTTCAAAGAAAAGAAAAAAGCAAAAATATAAAATTACCTCATATGTTTCTTATCTTCTTCTTTTATTTATTTATTTGTTAAATGAAAAGAAATGAATTGATTGGAATGAAAATTTGTTTTTTTGCTTACCAGCTAATAGTTGCTCGCGCGACCAAGAACTACCTTATTCCAATAGAATAGAAACAATAACAAATTGATATTATTGGTTGAATATATCAAACCAATAATCAACAATTCTATTGTCTGTGAGATAACCAAGTGATTCATTTCACTTTGCATCGATTTACAAAGTGGACGTACGAAAAAAACAAAGACATTAATTTCAGTCATTGTCAACTTTAGAAATCTGCATACTATACAAATATTTCACTATTTTAGATCATTTTAATGAATAAGAAACTCAAAAATTCTCAATACGATCATTTTATAAAGTCCTATGTTTCCGTTTTCAAGGGTGCCAAGGAGGTAAGCTACCATGTTTTTATAAAAATTCAATGTACAATCATATTCCTTTTCTCTTCTAGGCTGCCTATGCAAAAGGAAATGAAAATTGGAAAAAGTTCAAAGTTTTAGACGATCAAGAAAAAATTGAAAAAGAAATCTATCGAATGACTTTGGAATATAAATCAAAACAACCTCAATCTTTATTCGCTGTATGGGCACGTAAATCTACCGGAAATCAAATATCGTTTACAACAAAACAATCGGTTAATATTACATTTGATTCAACTAGTGTCGTTGATATTGGTTCTAAATCTCCAGGAGCTGGTTCCTCACATTCAACCAACTCATCACAACGCAAAATAGTAGATATTTTTATACAAATATTTCTGATAGTAATTCTTCCTTGTTTAGATATGTCATTCTCAAATAACTACACGTAATGAATTAGATCAAACAGTATACAAATTAAACAATATTCGTCAATTAAAAGCTACTAACTTGCTATCCAACGAAGCTGAAAAAACTTTGAAGTTGTTAGAAAACCAACAATCAAATTATGAGAAGAAATTGAAGCGTCTCGAACAAATACGTATATTTCAAGCTAAATTTCGAAGAAACCGAAAACTGAAATTAAAAAGATTAATAGAAAAGCATCCAAATGTTGCTGCCGAATATAACCTTGCTTTATATAATGAAAGAGGACAACCAAGTGTTGAAGAATGTGGACAAAGTAGTCTACAAGGTCAGCAGAAACCAAAACAATTTACGTTTTATTTTTTATTTTCTATTTTTCTGTTTTATCAATATTTTCTAGATGTTATTATTGAAATTGCAAGTCGAGGTGCTGCAGCAGATCCTTCCAGAAGTTCAAATTTAATTGCTCCTTGCATGAACCTCGATGAACTTGTTGAACATTTGAAATTACGTGGTTTTATTCTTAGTCGTTCAACAACATATCTACGGTAAGTTTAGAATACTTGTTATATTAAGTTGCTTATTTTTGCTATCTTTAGCTTGTTGCCACGAAGATCAAACTCTACTGAGGGGAAAAGACATGTTCGAACAGTACCTGTACGACTAAAACGATCTTCTAATGATGAACATAAGAAGCATGTAGATCAATATTTTGCGATGAATACAATTAATCATTTAAAAACATTGGCCAGTATGTTTGGTAGTGATGCTGTGTTTTTTTTAAGCCAAGATGATAAAGCTCGTGTGCCAATTGGCCTGCCTGCTGCACGTAAACAAGCCCCATTATTAATGCACCTCGATTACAAGATTTCGTTACCTGACCACGACTTCGTTGTTGCTCCTGGTCATAAACTGATTCCATCCGGTAAAAATCAGAATTGATTGTTGAAAATAATACTTTTTTTAATTTAATTTTAGTATACGCTGCTTGTACAATTAATAATAAGAATGAAGTGACCTATTCAGGTCCAACTTATATATCAATTAGATCTGGTAAACACGACTCAAGTACAGCAGAGACTCATCATCGGGATTTCTCATTGTTATTCGAATCAAAAGATTTTCAATCTGTGATGAAGTTGAATGACAAGTGTAAGCCGATTGTGATCGTATGTGTAGATGGTAAGAACGCTGCACCTTATCTAAAACATTACTGGTGATTACCTATTTACATTGCAGGTGGACCTGATGAAAATCCTAGATATTCAAAAACATTAGTTGGTGGTGTTAACCTATTTAAAAAATATGAACTTGATTGCTTATTTGTAGCGTCGAACTGCCCTGGCCGATCAGCCTACAATATGGTCGAAAGACGAATGGCACCACTTTCTAATCAACTAGCAGGTAAAGTAATTTTGTGTTACATTCCTTACCTTTGTTTTAATGTTTTTACAGGATTGATTCTCCCTCATGATTATTATGGTACACATCTCAACGATAGCGGGAAAACTATTGATAGTACCCTTGAAATACAAAATTTTAAACGAGCCGGTACGCTTAAAATATACATTAGTTGGATTACAAGCTTTGTTCTTCAATTTTTAACTTTAGGTGAATGTTTAGCAGAAGTTTGGAATGAACTTACAATAGATTTTTACCCAGTTGCTTGCCAATATATAGAGCCTGTTGATGAAAAAAATTCATTTTCATTGGATACAAATGATATTGATCTCAATTGGTTACAACTACATGTACGTCAATCACAATATTTATTACAAATCATTAAATGCAATGATTTGAATTGTTGCTCTTCTTGGCGAACTAATTATCCTAAAGTTATTTCACAAAGATTTTTGCCTCCGCCTTGCCCCTTCAAATATTCTTCTAATGGTATAATAGTAATTCATTTAAACTTGTTCTATTTATTGTTTTCTTTTTTTAGGACTTTGCGTTGCTGAATTAAATGACAAAGATGGTCGTTTTGTCGACCTACTCCAACTATTAATACTGAATAATATTGTTCCAGCAATCGATATGGTTTACGACTACGCATGCCCATCTGTTCAAAATGAACTTGCAAAACGTACTTGCCCAGTGTGTTTTTTATATCATGCATCAATAGCAACAATGACGCGCCACAAACGTTTACACAACTCAAAATATTTAGTGAAGCAACAGATTATTTTGCACTGGATGACGCAAATGAATTACAAAGTAATTCAGAAGAAATGAATTACAATATAATTCAGAGCTAAAACTAAATTTCTACATGTATCTACCAGGGTCTACAGCTATTTAC